TTCAGAACTCAGCACTAAGTCTTATTACAACAACCCTCTGGGCTTTTCAAACAGACAAACTGGGGCTAATCTGTAGGGTAAATATGACGCTACAGCTAACAGTTAGTTAGCTTAGTTTAGCATAAAACGGAAAGGAACCCAGCCTTTTTCTGTCCAAAGGTTGCAAAATCAGCCCAAATGCACCTCTAAAGCTCGTAAGACACCAACTAAATTGCTCTTGGCCAAGAAGTAGTCCAGCACATTACCCCCTTCCCAAAAACGTATCATCGTTACATTTTATTTGTTGTATGGATTTAGAGGTGTGGATCTTTGACTGAGCAAATACGTGTATTCCCCAAAATGTCAAACTAGGCTACTCCTTCAAACCTGAATTTGTAACCAACAGAATTACAACAGAACCCTTTCTTCAGCTCATGTGAGAGTGCGGTCTTATGCATTCTGTGTGTGAAAGCAGCTTTAGTGAAGCCGAGCACTGCCAAGGATCCTGGCAGAGAACGGCGCTGAGTGCCCGTAAATCACCCCGGTACGTTTCTGTGGAAACGAGCCAAAAAGCCGATTGGCTTGGCCGTCAAACATGAAACTGCTTTCCATCATATGAGTGGGATTCTTTCAACGTGCCCTTCATGTCGTCTGGGGGTGACTTTGTCAGCGACTCTGAATTTCCACATCTCTGCTTTCACCAAGCGTCAGATCGATAAAATACTGAAGCTTGTGTGAATAAAAAAGGGACAAACTTGATGTGGACTGCCCAGTCGGCCCAAAAACTGCCTCAGTATGTCATGTGACTTACTGAAGACTCACTGGAGGTGGAGAAGGAAACTAATTTGCCTTACTCACAGTGAAGCCAAAAAAACATTAACAGCCACTTCCAGACCTTTAGAAGCTGGAAAGAGGAGGCCTTTCTAATGGCCTCCCCTTTCCTAGAAGCCCTAGAAGGACACTTTAAGTGTTTAATTGCTTGCTGTTTATTTCACACACTGATTGAATTGTGTTTTACTGGAATCAGCTGAATTCTCTCTAAGCACAGCAGCTTACAGGATTAGATCGACTTGGCTGTTTAACCCTAAAAATGGATGTGCATCCGTATTGCACATTTTCGACACAGATCTGTCATTTACACTCGGGCAACATTTAGATGTGACAAGATTAACAGGGGTTTAATGTTTAACTACTGACCATTCAGACAGCGTTCAAGGCTAATTAAGCAAATCAGGCCTTCAACAGGTTTCAACAATTGTACCAAATAAGTTCATTTTCTCGTAAACTTAAACATAATTTAATATTTTTGCCTTGATTTGATTTGCTGTCCTGTAAAACCACATATCTCCAAAATATAATAACTTTTCACATTATATTAAGCTTTGTGACAACGCATTTCAGACAGTCCAATGTGTTTTTAAAAGGTTTATTTAGCCTAAGTGAAGGATATTTTATCCTTTTATTTATCCAAAATCCAAATTCACAAAATTTGGAGATACATGTTTTTCAGTGGCTGAAGGGGAAAAGGTGAAGATTAAGAAACGTGACACCTTTTCACTCCCTCACGTTATTTTTTTTTTTTTTGTACTTTGGGCCAAATTCAGATTCTGTAAATTCATCTGTTATGGTGAAAGGGGCACTGGCTCATGCGGATGCTAAAAGTATATTATGAGAACCCAGAAATTATAGTAGGAGAATGTAAAAAACGTTTAAGGGAGATAAGAAGATTGATGCCACGGTCACACCTGTATGCTAAAAATGACATCTGGTTGGCTTAGCTTAGCATAAAGACTATAAACAAGGGGAAACAGCTAGCCTGGCTATGTCCTAGGATTGCCAAACCCAAACTACTAGCACCTCTAAAGCTCATTAATTAACATATTATATATTGTTTGTTCAATCTGTACAAAAACCAAAGAGTAAAAACAACAATTTGTGGTTTTACAGAGCTTACAAAGTCTTTTTTTGTGATAGTGTGGTTACTAGGCAACCAGCAGAGACTCCAGGAAGCTACCTCTAAGAAAATTGATTGAACCAACGTGATTTGACGTGTTAACTAGTGAGATTTAGAGATGCTGGCTGCCGGGTTTCGTTACTTTTGGACGGAGGCTGTTGCCAGCCTTTGTGCTAAGATAAGCTGACAGTAGCTGCATATTTAAGAAACAGAAGTGAGAGTGGCGTCTTCTCATCTAACTCTCAACAGGAGCACCGAATCAGCACACGTCCAAAAATGTGAAACTATTTCAGAGTGGAACCAAGATATCACAGAGCTTAGAGGTGCTGTACAACAGAGCAGTGAGCAGATCCACCAGCCGGCTGACATCTGGTAAAAGAGTCTTGGCAGCCCATAAGGCGGAGCTGCACACACACACAGGAGACTGCATCCACACCCACCCACACAGACCTTAACACTTCTGAACTGTCGACTCCGTGACGGCCACTTGGGAATGTTTAAAAGTGTTTCAGCAGGAAGCACCGGTGATGATACAGCAAGCAGAGAAAGGAAAACCAATCTTTTAAAGCAGTTGTGGGATACAACATAACCCTCAATGTCAAAATTTCAAAAACACAAGGGCATCAGGGAGAGCTCAGGCTTTTTTTTTTCTTCTTTTTATTCCTGGAAGGATTGTTGCAGATCGATCTTTTATGTCTGGCAACATTTCTCTCATGTCAATAAGGAGTAATGTAGTGCGTATAGAAGTGGAAGAGTGGACTGTCATTTGAATGATTTCCATCGAGTCTCAAAACATTTAGATCCCCTTTGTCAAAGCTTTAGTTAGGAAAAGGGTGTGTCGCTTTGACTGGAAATGTTTCTCATTCACACATTCACACATTTCTTATGTGACAACTTGGTGTAAAATCTCACCTCCCCCCCTACTGATACATTCATGTAAAAATAAGATAACACAAGCAAGAACTCTTTGGAGACATGTAACAAGAAGGCATACAGTGTGAGAAAATGAAGCACTTACAGCTTCCTCACTGATCAGATGACTCTAATTATGAACTGCATGGGGAAAGGCATTGGATAAATTAATTAGAAAAAGAAATACAGCAGAGGCATAGGCATTCATGTAGGACTGTGTATCAGATTAAGTTTCAAAAAGACTTGGGAAAATGAAATTGCAATCAAATCATATGAAAATTAGGAAATCACTTAAATAAGGATTCTGCAAACAAAGGTGTATAGAAATATGGATCTACACCAAGCCAACCAGGTACTTAAGGTAGATAAGGTAAGGTACATTTAATTGCTAACAACGCTAAAAGTCTCTCTGTTCCTAGTCAGTAATATGTAGGTTCATGTGGCTTACACAAACTAAAACAGATTTGGTCTTGGTAAAGTTTGAATGGGAATCTACTGGTAGATTACTAGTGTTGTCTCTCAAGCAAAAAAGTCGCCCACCAACTCACTCGACTTTTGAGGCTCCTTGAAAACTCGTTTATATGACATTTTTAATTTTTCCTTTCTGCACGTGGTCTGCAAGCCAATGAAACAGCATGATTCGCTGCCTCTGATTTTCCTTGGCATTTAAAGATACGTCAGTAGCTGGCCTGACAGCTTGAGTGAAAGCCTGAAAACTATTTAATGTAACGGCAAAATAAATGCCTGCTTAAAAGGTGAATTCACACAGAAGCACGTAGGGCGGAAAATGTCAAAACACCCGCTGTGACCACACTGTTAGTCTCATTACCATAACATGGTTTTGTGCGATACAGTTTGGATCTAGTCTTTGGCCCCATTTACACATATCATTTTTATATGTCAGGGATCGGACAAATGCATGTACACCTTCTGTATGATAATGTGTGTTGAAATCATTGTCGTTAAAGATCCAGTTTATTAGGTACGCTTAGCTAAAATGAATGCTGACTAACACAACAGCCCAACAATAAATCCTACTTTCACGAAGGGCTTAATGTTCAGTTTTTGTTTGTACCCATCAACTTTATGGTCATTTTGGAGGCTACAGTTTGCAGTGCTGTTAATGTTGCATCACACTGAGAGGTGTTTATAATATTTCCAGGGAGGAAAATCCATTTTTCTCGTTCCATGAATCCCCCCTAAAAAATTTAAAAACCCTCCCCCCCCCTTTACCAACCCCCAAAAAATAAAAAAAAATCTTTCTTTTCTAAACAAAAAAAAAAAAAAAAAAAAAAAAAAAAAAAAAAAAAAAAAAATATACACCCAAAAAAAAACCAAAAACCACCCCAAAACCAAAAAAAAAAAAAAAACCAAAAAAAAACCCAAAAACCCAAAAAAAAAAAAAAAAACAAAAAAACCCAACCAAAAAAAAAAAAGTTAAAAAAATTAAATTTAAATTTTTTTAAAAAAAAAAAAAAAAAAAAAAAAAAAAAAAAAAAAAAAAAAAAAAAAAAAAAAAAAAAAAAAAAAAAAAAAATAAATAAAAAAAAAAAAAAAAAAAAAAAAAAAAAATATTTGTTATTAAACCACTAAATATTAACTAGCCAACTAACAAAAATATTAATTTTTTTTTTTTTGGTGGGTGTGTGGGTGGGGGGGGGGGGGGGGGGGGGACCCACAGCAGGGTAGGCTTTTATCAAAATTTAAATAATCCCTGCATGCGCAAATAACAACCGTGGTCTTGTTACTATAGCACTGCCATTTGTGTAATTAAAAATGTGACCTGGGGATGAGAAAGGTTAACGGTAAGATTTGTCTCTAAATTAATATGGTAATGGCCGTGAGAGCGTTGCGGCGCATCGCTCCCAAACTATTTGTCTGAAGCTTCAGCAGTGTATCACTGCACCAACGAATTTACCTACGTTTTATCTATAAATTATTTCTGTGAGTGAAATTTGTGCCATGACAGCATTTACAAAATTTATTTTTCGACAAATTTTCCCTTCTCCCCACACTCTACATGATGTCACGCACTCTGGCAGTTTTTTCAGTTAATACCCCTTCTTTTTTTTTTTTAAAAAAATAACACAGACAACAGAATTCAGAACAGCCTCCAAAATGATCCGAAAGTTCAATCAACACCGCTCTTACCACATTATAGCCTTTATGAAGGGAGGATTTATTGCACGACTGTTGCAGTAGACTTCATTAGTTTTGGCTAATAAACCGGCAAACTGAGTGTAAGTCTCTCCAAGACAGATCTGGGGAGAGTGCGTCTAAAACCACCTTCCAAGGCATGAAGTTTCTAAGTCAAAGTGGGGTCTTGCAACTACAGAAAATGCCTAAGTAACTATGCCAGTCACCTCAACCTGTAGCATTGGAGTCTGTCAAAATAAAAATAAAGGTGTGATGAGATATTACTCTGGCGCACACTCATAAAAAAAGGCATATAAACCACTTGTTCAGAACAAAATTCAACCTTGTAGTTCCCCGTGCCTGTATTTGTGTTGGCTCAATTTAATACCTTCCTGTTGGACTTTCTTTTCATGACTATATTGTCCATATGCGTGCATTGTGGATGAAGTGGTTCTTTTGTGGAGTCCGTGGTCTGGTCCCTCTCTGTTTGCTTCACTTTCAATAAATAAATTATCTCAAGCTTGTTTAGCACCCTTCAAAAGTCCCAAATGAGGCTCCACAGTTTGTGGCTATTAAGGTGCTTTCTGGATCCATCATTACTATCGGTCCACCTTCACAAGTCCCCAGTTCAAGGCAGACAGTTAGGAGTTGTTAAGCTAGTCCAACAAGTCCACCTTGGTCAGTTAAGCTGTACACGTTGTCTCTTCCTGTTTAAGGAGTCCATTAGGAACTGGATGACGATGTTTTGTTATAGTGTGGCATTTAGCAGAATGATAGTGGATATAACCATGTAGTCAATGTCATTGAGCTCACTGGAGGCCTAAATTGCTCCGAAGAGAAATAATGTGAGTGTCTTCCCAAGTTAATCATCTTCCCTCATTATATTTAGGACCTCCAGGACTCCTCCATTGAGCTCTGATAGTGGAATGTGGAGCAAAATGTCAGCACAAGAGAACTCTCTCTTGAGGTTAAATCTAAGGGTGCCGACTAAACTTTCTTCAAATGATATGTGCTAGGAGGATGTTGGAAACCAACATAAGAGTGATCGTAACGTATGTGATCATGTAATTGCATATTGGAGGAGAGGAGAAGATTAAGAAGTAGTGGGAGGAGAGGTGAAGGAAGAGATGATGGCCGAAAGAAACATTAAACATGTCCAGAGCGTCATCGTCTTTTTGGCGAAGAACCAAAATGGATCCTCTTTCTAAGGCCTTTTCTGAGACTTTCAGGGTGGGATTTTCAGGCAAGAAGCCCAAAACAAAACCAAAGGAATTGAATCGTGGGAGCCCTCGCAATTAAATGAGCATCTGTGATCCTTCCTCTCTGAGAAATAAAAGGTATACAGAAATGGGCGCAACCCTTCAGCTATCCACCCACGTTCAAGGTGTTCTTCTCCGCCTTCTACTAGCCTTTCCATTGAAATTCCTCTGTATCCAGTCTGAAGAAAGAACAATAGAGGGTTACCCACTGTTTCAGTCAGAGGGCTGACACCTCAGTCCGTCAGTCACTCCCTTCTGAATCCTTCCTTGATCCCTCCGCTTTTCACCTTCAGTCCCAAAACTCTTGCCAGATCAACATAGACAGCGGCGGTCACTCTTGGTCACTTCCTCCGAGGAGTGAACCACATTGGGGACAAACCCGCTCTTAACGCCCTCCCAGCCCTCCTGGATTGTGATATCACCGGACCGCACCAAGGCGAAGATGTCCCTGGTCAGCTCGGTGAAGGCGTGTTCCACGTTGATGGCGTCACGGGCCGACGTCTCGACGTAGCGCATCCCGTACGCCCCTGCCAGCTTCTCTGCTTCCTGGCGGGTCACCTAGAAGATTAAATGAGATGAGATGAAACTTTCCCATTTGGAAACTGGGCAGTCAAGAGCTAGTAGATGTAAGACACCCTCTGAGAACCTAAAAGAAATGCCAAAACAACATCCTCTGAAGTAGGACCCTGCAGTACAGAGGAAACCTGCACAAAATGTTTTAGAACTGACTAAATATTGCTCTTTTCTTATTCCGAATGAATGAAATACATTTGGTCACGCAACCACCCTGCTTCCAAAAGTTGCTCGATAGAGTCTCAATCTGCATTTTGGTTATGCTGAAGTAAACCAGACTGCACACTCACGAGATTGATAAAGATCATTTTGCAATTTAACCAAACCACAAGGTTGATCAAGAACATCAAATCATCTGCACTGAGTAGCATCACTTTCAATTAGTGTGTGCGATGTGTGTGATAAGAGTCTTGTAAATGAGCCTTCCAGTTCAACATTAGGTGATGAGAGTGATCAGATCGAGATCATAATGAAGCTGCTAAGATGGGAAATCTTACATAATTCCTGGTTTATTTGATTTTAATCCTACAACACTATATTATATGAGCATACACACACTGTTGTGCTGAGCGTTTTGCAGTGTCATCCTGTAATGTCTAAATTTCAATGGTGATATTTTTTGCTTTCTCTCTTTCTTCCAGCTGCCCCAAGAGAATTAAACTATGACGACTTGCCTCTGATCCAATGCGTTCTGATCTAAATGTGAACAAAATAGTTATTTTTAATGCTTGCTAAATTGTATATTACATAACATTTAAAACAGGCACCGTCCCCAGCAACAAATTTGAACTCAATAAAGCCTTATGAATATTGTGTTCACATTCACTTTTATAGGCTACCGTACACACCTGGCGCTGTGCCTCCAGATCACATTTGTGGCCCACCAATAAGAAGACGATGCTGTGCGGCTGGACGTGGCTGCGAGCCTCCTCCAGCCAATCGTGGACGTTCTGGAAAGAGCGGCGGTTGGTGATGTCGAACAGGAGTAGCCCGCCCACAGAGTTACGGTAGTAAGCCCTGGTGATGGACCTGCAGAGGTCACAAAATGAAGGGAAGGATAAAGATCAGAACCAGATGCAGTTCATATACCAAGTACAGTACACACACAGGTATTTGTCTCAGTAAAAGTGATAGAGTGACAGGAAGAAAGGCAAATGGACTGTCAAATTATACAAATAATACACGTCAAGTAAATTTTTCCCAAAGATGGTTTCTGGCATTTTACGTAGTTTTTATCACTCTGATGTGTGCTCAAAAGTTCATTTGATAACTTTGGTTTTGGACTTCGATACAGCGGCGCCAACCTCGATCACTACTGCGCAGACTCTGGCTCCAAATGCCATAAAAAGGCAGCGGCCATATCCCAGGTATTTTGGCTTCATTTTTGTACAGTGGGAGGAAGTTGAGACTCTCTTATGTTTGCAGCTTACACACAGATCAGTCCATTCCTTACACTTTCCCGCTTAGGTATTTGTTTTTGGAAAGATATCATCTATACTGCGAAAAAAGAGACAAAGACAAGCTGCAATCATTGAAAGGGGAAAATAAGGCATGATAAATCCGGAGGGAAAGAAACTGATAACAGGAGGTGTGAAAGAAGGAACAGGAGCAGTAATAGAGGTGTCAGGTCGAGGAGCTGAGAAATTGGAAACAAATTAGATGGAGATAAGATGTTGAAGTAGAAGAAAAATTATGTTCCGAGATCGTTTTACCAGCAACTGTGAGCAGTCTTGCTTGTTTTGATTATCTAAACAGCAAAATAGATTTTGTGCAGGAACATTTATTAGGCTATATATTTTACCAGAGGACACAACAAGGAAAGTGCTACTTTAAAAATGTTCCTTGGAGATCAAAATAACTTCGCTACCGTACAACACAAAACACTGAAATAGCACAATATTAGTACAATAATTAAATTGCTATTTTACAATTTGTTACAAAGTGAGTGGTCTGTGTGATTTTTAATCTGTATATGAATAATTTAAACTAAATATCAAATCAAGTTTCAACAACAAACAAACAGTGATAACCTTGATAGAACAAACTCAATATCAACCTTTATAAGTTAAAATCAGTTGAGTCTGAGTGGAGACTGGAATTGAGTTGTTTAATTCTACTTTAATTCTCCCGACTGGGAGGAGAAGCGCTGCTAGATTTTGACAAGATGTGACACCCTGCATGCACACATAGACACACCGATCCCCTTATGATACATCTATCTTCCCACGACATCCTCGCAGAGAACGTCAACATAAAGATAACGAGAAGGAAAATTACAGACTTGAGGTAGAGACGGAAAGAGAGACGTGTCAGGAAAGAGGAAGAAGGGAGGAGTCGTCAATGGAGATACAGTAATAGAAGAGGAGTAGGTGGCAAAAATTCAGAACCAGCGAGTGACTCATTGGATTTGACACACACACACACACACACACACACACACATATATATATAGTTATGGAAGGAAGATGAAACAACAGTGACTAAGATGAGATCTGCATCGTCAGTAGGAGACGAGAACTGACAAGGAAGATGAGAGGGATTCAAATCAGAGGGAAAGCACACTACAGTGTCCCCAAATCCCCAAATATGTAAACTAGTGGATCGTAAATACTTTCCCAAAATGGCTACAGTACACGAGTCAAAATGTCTACCTGAGCGGATCAAAAGAGGAGCTTCAAAGCTGCCACTAAATACCACCTTCGACATAAATAGACATACAGGAGGATTAACTTGTAACTCGTTTAAGTTGAAATCCTTGGTTTAAAGATAAAGGGTAAAACTGGCTTCAGGCTATTTTTCTATTGTTGTATAACAAATCCCAGAAGACCAGAACCAACAATGTGGTAGCCCGTCACTCAGTACTTTCCATTACTTTCTTAAACAATAATAATAAATACACGTGGTGTTCTAGTGAGTATTTACCGCCGCAGGACAGTGACTTGAAATAGCCTACAGTGCCCATGTTCATCACAATGAAGGAACGTGTCTTTACACACTGTTAAATTACTTTTTAATCTTTTGGCTTGAGGGAAGGTATCAAGTCTTTTCAAGTCGAAAGGAAGACACGAGTCATTGGTGTCGAGATGAGGCCAAGAATGTGCAAACTATAGCATTTTGGGGGAGAGAAATGAATATTGGCGATCCAGCGCCCACTGACTGGGACTAGGTTTATTTCATGTATATTTTCTCATCTGAAGTTAATGATAATGTGCACCCACGCTTCAGTGGTGATGACAAAAATACCATTATCTTTATTAAAGTGAATTAGTGATGAATCACCCTCATGCACAAATCATACATCAATAGTAGCCCAAGTTCTCGCATAATCCTTGATGATGGTGATAGAGAATATAGATTACATATACTGTATTAATATCAGATGATACATAGGAAACTACAGTCTTTTATTCAGCTGTCAAGTGAGAGAATAATGCCATTGAGGACGTGGTTCCCTTTGCTTCAGGAAGTGCAAGTATTTTGAAATAAGACACAGTAAAATCAGATCTCTGTGCTAATCAATCAAGAAAATAACCACATAAACATAGTGAAGAGCTCATTCCTGAATCAATTACTTTGTCTTGAAGGAAACATTTGCATCTATTCTTCAGTATGGGGAAAAATATGAAAGCTTCAGACAACATGATAACTGACAATTTATCTGCGTGTCATATGAAACATACCAGCACTTTTTCTCCAAAAGGTGGATATCTCATTAAAAAAAAAAGACATAAAAACAGAGTCGAAGTGCTATTCTTCCTCCACGAAGAGACTCTTAAATTCATATCACAGAGTTTATGATCAAAAGTGATCAGATCACAGATTTAATTGCAAAGAAAACGCTTCTCTTCAGAAATGGCTCCTCGATTGGTTCGGGAAAAAAAGGTTGCGATTTGTCCTTCGGTCTCGGGGGGGACGTGTCGGGGTTGCCATGGAGACACTAATCATGCTGACAGGTGAGACCGGTTCCCTTCTGTCAAGATGATGAGTGGAGCTGAATGTGGGAGTGGGAGTGCGTGCAAGCATGTGGGAAGATGCATTTGAGGGGCCCTGAGATATACATCATTATTATTATTATCACACCCCTCTACACACTGATAGGGAAATATTTGCATTTTACTGCAATTCCCCGTACTTTAAAGTGATGAGGTCGGGGTTCAGTGACTTACACAAGGGCAGTGGGGGAACATAACACCATGTACATTTACTCAGGTACTGGACTTAAGGACAAATGTGAGGTTCTTGTACTTGATTCTTTTCTTTTTTTAATGCCACTTTCGACTGACAGCTTTACATTTATGCATACAAAACATACAAAGAGCTTATAGAATATGATGTTTTGTTATAATAACTACCCAATAACAGTATATACAAGTATATAAGGCTTTTTTATGGACATGCATCAGCTACTGTCCAACTTGAGGCTTAAAAACAAGGTAATAAAGGGTGATATCTTGGGAATAGTGAGGTAATACCATTGCAGTTACAGTATAGTAATGTTTTGAGAGTAGTGGTAAATAGGTGTTCTTCTGTAATAGTGTAAGAATGAGGGTAACTAATTGTTTCAAGGTAATAATGGGGCAGAACATCTCAGTAATAACATCGGCTAACAATAAACTAATCTGCTGTTACTATGGCATTCCTCTTTTTACCTTGTTTTCACCTGTAATGTACAGATTTATACCATTATTTGTTATATTTTTAAATAATAGTGTTTTATTTTTCTTCAGCACATGCCAGATTTTGTCTTTGAGGATTGCAATTAGATATGAAAACTGACAGTAAAAGGCAATATTGTTGCGCCATGTCTTTTAAGGGACTGATACAAATGCAATCACGTGACAGTTAATGAGTTTCTTTTTAGAAGAACGTATGATAACACGCCTCGCTATCTATGAAAGATAATAAAGCAGTTGCTTTTAAAGGCCGTGCACACCCATGGTGCACCCACACAGGTGATTCCAGTAGACTCGGACAGATTTGAGGACTACTCCCTATGTAATAAACCCAGTTTCAATCAAATGTAGCGCAAATTCAAACAGAATTTTTCAGAAGGTCAAAGGACATTTATGCACATTTTCACTGCACTGATGTGTGAATATTAGGAGTTTGTTCATTGAAATAAACAGTAGCTGGCATAGTATACGTAGTTGGACTAGTGTGTAGGAATTAGTGGCATCTAGTGGTAAGATTGTAGAGTGCAACCAATTAAAACCCCTCGAGTCAAAGAGAAACTATGGTAGCTGCGACAAATGGGAGTTGCCTTATCTAGAGCCAGTGTTTGGTTTGTCCCTTCTGGGCTACTGTAGAAACATGGTGGCTCAACATGGCAGCCTTCGTGGAAAAGAAATAGCTCCCTCCAGAGATAAAACCATCTCATTCTAAGGTAACGAAAACCTATTTCAAGTGATTATACACAAATAAAAACATACCTATGAATATTATATTCCACTCCAGCCAATAGATCCTCCAGTCAAACCTCAAACGGTGGAAAGAAATGTAGGAAACATGGCGTCTATGTTTGTTTCATGTGTTAATTAGAGGAAGGTTAGAGTCTCCTTATCGCTCCACACAGATCTGATGTTTCTCGTCTCTTCAGCGAACATTTAAGTCACTTATGTACGTCATGATTTCTTACATTTAGTTTTTATGGATACGCCAATATTTACACTTTCCGCATGTAAAAACATTTGGGCAATAATTCAACTTCCACTCAAGTTTTTATGTACGCAAATTTAAAATAGGCGTTTAAAAACAGGTGGATAGACACCTTTATCATTATTAGTGCATGATGTGCACATTTGACCTTACATCATTCCTAGCATAGCTCTTAGATAACCTCTAATGTTTCTCTTTACATGTCATTAACAAATGACTTTGTTTAACAGCGTGAAACAAAACCACATTTGAATAAAGATCTTTGGCCCCAAAACTGGTTTATTTTATTCTTCCTCAGGCAGAATCACGTGAATTTCCGCTACTGGGAGCACATTCATCTGTTTACTCGTTCGAACCACACCCCTCTAGTTGTTTTCTCTGCTTGTATCACCTCAAACCTTTTTGAATAACAGCTCTTTTTTTTTTCTTCTGTTGTGCGGGTAAACAAATTAGTCCCAGGTAGTAAATCGAGTTTTAAGACCCCCCCCCCCTCAGGCTACGTCGTTAAGTTGCAAGCACTTAACAAGTATTCCCTAACATTAAGTACTAATTGTGCAATTTTCTTTATTAACAAAATACATTTAGACCCTGAATTTGGGAAACAATACTGAGGTTTAAACTACTCAATTTCTACCACAGATCATCTATCCTGGAAATTTACAAAACTTGTAATTCTTTGACACTTTTTTTGTCTGATGTTGGCTGTTAATCAGACATCTAATGTGATTTTCTTTAGGTCACAGGTCCGCAAGTTCAGCCTCTCTCTCAGTTCTGTAAAAGCAGTTCTTTTAAATATCCACATGCACAACATATGATAACTAAACTACCCTTTCAGTTTCCAAAATGAAACCACAAGTTCCTTGTTTACCTCTGTGCTTTAAGGACATCTGTGGTGCTAAGCGGTCGTGATTCTGCGCTGCATTTCCCAGAGATCCCCTGTCAGTGGAGCAGTATACTGTGAATACTCTGACGCGTTTTCCTCTTATTTTCTGCTGAATTATTTCCTCAGTTGTTTGTCAGTCAGCTGTTTATCCTTCCTGACCTTTCAGCCATAAACGACACGAGATGTTACACAACAGCCAGAGGGTGAAGCCCCTCAGACAGATTTTTCTATGTACGTTTTCGTCAGTCTGTGATTTGAAAGTAGCTCTTTAAGGCACTTCTCTCTTCTTATCAACCCATTGCACGCATTTGAAGGCACCTTTAACCTTTTGCTAGTTTAATTGTATATAAAGTGGTACTTTAAATTGATATGAACATAATCATGCAGTACAGGATTGGACCCCCGGGCCAGAAGTTTGACATCCCTATTTTAAGGGAAACACCTCTAAACTTTTGTATCTGCAAACCTCCCATGTTTGCTTTGGCTTCCTCTTTCTATGTTTATATTCAAATGTTACTAAGGACATTACAGGCTGAGACACTTAAATCCATTTTATATTACTCCACTGTAGTTCATAGCAAAATGTTATACTTTGTACTCCACTTACTTCTATTTCTCAGCTATTTTTCCAACAATCTCGTTAATTAATTCGATTTTTTTGTGCATTTTTATAGATTAAACTACCCAACAATTATAGTTCACATTAGCTCAACCTCGATGAGCTCAGTAAACTGCTGCTGTATCAGTAATAATAATATTACATATTATAATAATAAGATAATATAACACTGAACGCAGTCATTCTGCACAATGACAACTTCTACTTTTGATACTTTAAGCATCAGTTTTGCTAATAATACTTATTATACTGCAGTTTTTTTAAACTTTATTGTTTTACATTGTATTGCTACTTTCACTTAACCTCTTCTAACAGCAAACAAACACCATCAGTTGCTCTGTAATGTCTGGCAAGGCACAAAAGGATGTATTTGCACCTTCCTGTGGTCACTGATGGCATATTATTATAACACCATGAACTAAAACTCTCTTATATTAAACTGAGTACTAACATCTAACACTTATAGGAATATCAGGGCTTTGCACACACCCAGCTGTTCTCACCTGAAGCGCTCCTGACCCGCGGTGTCCCAGATCTGCAGCTTGATCCGCTTCCCCGGCTCGATCTCCACCAGCCGGGAGAAGAAGTCCACGCCGACGGTGGGGTCCGACACCTGGGCGAAGCGGCCCTCCGTGAACCGCCGGATCAGACACGACTTTCCCACCGTGGAGTCCCCGATGACGATCAGCCGGAACTGATAGAGCCATATCGCCTCCATGACTTGGCTTCTGCCTGTCTGTCGCTCTCACCTGTGTGTCTGTCTGTCTCTCTGTCTCTCTGTCTGTTCGTCGGTCTGTTACGGTGTGCGCGTGCGTGTATGAGGTGGGGGGAGAGAGAGAGAGAGAGAGAGAGAGAGAGAGAGAGAGAGAGATTAATATAATATTTGGCAACTTTCAGGAACTTTTTTATCTTTTTAATTTTTTTTTATTTTATAAAGTGGTGGAATGTAACTAAGTAGTCTACATTTACTTCAGTACAGTACAGTTTATGCTACTTTACACTTCAGATTATTAATACAAAATAAACATAATGAACTATTATCCCATATTAGCCTACATATTAAAATACCCAGCAGTGGGCTATATAAATAATAATAAAAATTAGCTCCATCATTACCAGTTGAGACATTAAAGTGTACCAATTAATGCATCAATAATTATAATCCAGTAATATAATAAAGGCAGAACAATTCTGAAATGAGCCATTCTGCATTATGGGCACTTTTTAATTTTTATTTTTACTTACAGGGACTTTTTTTTTAATGCATGACTTGTAACAGTGTTTTTACACTGCGGTATTGTTACTATGCTACTGACACTTCCTCCACCACGTTGTATGATGGCATAATGACCCAGGGATCTATAATGTAGGCTCGATATTGGACAAAATCATTGAATCTGATATCGAACAGGATACAATCCAGTAGCTAAAGGCTTAACTAAACTTTGTGTTTCTATAATTTACGGGAGTTTATTTGTTTCACAGTTTGAGTGTTTTGCTTTCCAGATGGCTTTATAGCAAAGTGCATCCATACAAATGTATTATTGAAGGCTTAATTGTTTGTAAGAGGGGAAAAGATGGTATTGGATTGGTGTCGGTATCAGCAGGAGGTTGCAGCATCGGTACTGGAACATGTAAAAGCGATATCCAGAGATCACTACTCAATAGTAACTCTGTGAGGCAACTTTATGTAAAAATTTCTACAATTTCTAACATTCCTACTGTAGCCTTTCTACGGAAAATAAAATTAGGAAACAGTCTTTGTTTGACAGTGTTTCTTGTAAGAACATCTTGGGACAGTTTCCAAAAGGATGTATTTGCAACTTCATATCTAGATAAACACCTGGAGAATGACAGGGGGGTCAAACTGCCGGCCCGAGGGCCATTTCCAGGCCTCCATCTCCCTCCTTTCGGCCAGCAACATGATATAACATAAGATTACTTATTTAAATTAGATTTCAAACATGCTAACACACATTTGAGGGCATCGTCAGCACACGAAAAGCAACGTATTGTTAGTCGTGACTTCTGTGTACCGCTACAACCATACCCTCCACTCATGAACGTGTTTTTCTTATTATTAATAATTTTAATAATAACTTTTTAATTCACAAAATGATGTATAAAGAGAGCTTTGTTTTCATTTTTATCTGGACTTCTCAGTGAATTAGGAGACATCTTGTGTCCAGCAGTTAAAGTTTTAAAATGAAAAGTATTTGCATATTCATATATTCTGTATTTTTCAATGATTTATGGAATTGTATCTTCTATAATACAACAATATCCTCCTACCCCCGTAATATTCTCATCCCCACTGAGTCTGGTAGTCTTTGTGTATTAAATAATAACATAATAGTCTTTTATTGCTTTAGGCTACAATACTAACATCTATTCATGACTTCTACTGCGCCTTCAGCCCTCAAATGTATGGTATTCTTTGTAAACTAAATTAGATCCTGCTACAACATTGGAGACTACTACTACTACTATTGGATTCAGACACTGAGGAGTCACATGGGGCAAACAATATTAAAACAATACATATTCCTGGACTGACTCCCCTTTGATTCAGTTACTATATTATAAACTTTACCACACACACACACACACACACACACACACACACACACACACACACCCTCCCCTCTAACACACTCAACTGGCTTACTGTGCTTCATTGTATTGCATGGTTTAATTAAAACCACGAGATATAAGAGAAAATCCTCTTATGCTTTTCTTGTCACTTGATGGCGTCAATTGATGTTTTAATAAGCCAGCTTTTTGGATTATCGGAAGTCGCCTAATGCCCCTTTTTGATATGAGGCTTTGGCGTTTGAATGTGTGACCCTACTGGCTTGTTTACATACTCCGACTGTAGTAGCATTTTTGCAAAGAATGGATTCATTCTGAATTATATTTATACTTTTGATGCTTTAAATATGTTGCTCCTAATACTTTGTACGTCTACTAAAGGAAAGGCTCTTAATACTTCTTCCACCACTGGCTTTTTGCACACAATCAGTCAAATTTATTCATAGAACTCCATTAAAATGTAACATTTAGGCCAAAATAAGCAACTTTAAGAAGTCAAACAAGTGAAATTGACCTTTAATACATCAAAGACCTATCTTATTTATATGCTCCTATCCTGCATTACATTCATGATTAACAATATATATGATTTGAATTTTGCCTAATTAGCACTTTTGGTACTTTTACTTAAGTAAAGGCTCTGAATACTTCTTCCGCCACGCACTGGGTAGTGCACACAATACGTTTCTTCACTTCATAGCACAGAACAGACTAACAGTGCCATACATTTTTCATTGTACCATCCTTAAAATAATTTATTAACTCCATTAAAATGTAACATTTTGGTGAAAAATGCATGTTTAAAAGGCAAACTTCAAGGAGTCAAACAAGTGAAACTGACCTTTGATGAGGAGCTGTAAATATGGCTTACATGTTCCTGCCCTTCACATTAATGATTAACAGGTTTAACTCTTGACTGAACTTAAGGCGTGGTTAACCCTAATGTTGTGTTTGTGGTCCCTCTTCAAACAGTATACTTAACACTGTTTTATCACCGCCATAAAATGTCCTAATTTATACGATGGATGGAGTCTCAAAAAAGACACAATCTATAAAACACTGTTAAATACAGTGAGCCAAATCCCAAATGAATGATATAAGTTAATGTTATTTGATTCCAGATGTGAAATATACCATTTTATTTGTACTTTAAATGAGTATTTCCAGTTCATGACACGTTATAGGCTACTTCTACTGCATTACATTTAGAAATATTCTACTTTTTACATCTATTTGACAGGACATAGTAGTATACAGTGTCTAGTGTCTAGAACTGGCTCTACTTTGACAAACTACAACATTAAAGGAGCAAAAACAGACATTTTTCTGATAATACTTTTACTTCTAATTAAGTATTTTAAGATCATGGTTTAGGGGTGTAAGAAAACTTATCAGAAAACTATAATAATATCCTGAACACAAGGATAGATTCACAGAGCCTTCACCAGAAACAGGCATATTTAGTATGTTTGACTGTTAGAAAATACATAATATGGACAGAATTGTATAAAAAAGTTCCTAAAAATATCAGTAATAACTCATCTCTGATCAATGTTCACAGGAAATAATCTGCTTAAAAATCATCCCAATCGCTTGTTTCACACAAACTTCCTGCAGTTCTTGTGTTCACTGTTTAATATGATAGATAATATACATAGAATATGTCACTTAATCAGGGGTCGTCGGTGTATTCGGTGATATAAAAGGAATCCCTTAAGGAAGAAGGTTGGGAACCACTGCATTAAGTTAAGATCAGGGGGTAATTCACAAGATAGAAGTGTCTAAAGTAGGCTAATTAAAATTATCTCCACCTTTTACCAGCTGCAGCATCAAAGTAATGTACACATGATCAGCAACTGTAACCCATTAATATTCTGAAACAGGTCTTTTATGCAAAATGTGTATTTTCTTTTTAAACTTTTCATATATTTTAAACACTTTTGTGCTTAGGAAAAACTGCTTGTAAGAGTAGTATTTCTACACTGTGGTGGTGGTGGTGCAACCTCTGGCTCCTTCTACAGCTCTCCCCGACCAGGCCACCAGGCGGGCCCTGAGCCAGACACATGCAGCCTCCCATCAGCCCCCTCTGTGTCTCTGTGGAGTCGGGTTGCGTAGCTCGGTCGGTATGCAAACATTAGTGGCCGAATCCCCGGTGAATAGCAGCCTTATGGGCTCTCACACCGGAAGCGTTATAGGGCAGTTTGGAGGTCCACACAGCACACATCCATCCACTCAAACACACATATTCATGCGGGGCTGATAGTTGCATCTCCTGTAGTAGAAGGTCACTGTTTGTTTGAGCATTATGTGAGTTTTTAATAACATTATGCTGTTAAATAAGTCTAATTTCTTGCTGTTATTATAGGCACCAGGCGACACAAAACGCATCCTATGATATTTGTAAACAGGCTCTCCTACAATGTCTAATAAAGATTAGGATGGACTCCAACCATTTCTCCATATTTAGAAGATTGTTTTAACTGCAGGCTATTATTAGACTGAAAAATAGGCCTCATGCTTTCATTAGGAACCACTTTTAGGCTTAAAGACATGATGATTATTAGAAATATAAATGTAAACGCTTTAAAAAATACAAAAAAACAAACAAACAAACAAGCAGCGTACTTGGAGCAGGAGTGCAGTTTAGGCCTGAATGGTTGCTCTCTTCTTCTCTTACGCTGTTTCCCTTGCGCCGTTCAGGACCAGGCTGATGTGGGCTCCATGGCACCGATAAGTCTGGAGCGATCCTCTCCGAAACAACAACCGAAAAACTCTCGCAAAAAGCCTCTCCGGGAGTCGATGTTTTGGTCCTGAAGCCCGAAATCAGCGCAAAAAAAGGGGGGGCTGGCGCACAACAGCAAGGCCCCTGGAGTGGAGGGCTGAGTTGCTCGTTAATGTCAGGCCCGATCGAGAGCTTAAAGGAGAAGAAGAAGAAGAAGAAGAAGAAGGGGGGAGAAAAAGGAGAGAAACGCATCCAGAGCAGGTGCGATAAAAAACCCGGATCTTGCGCTTTTCAGCCGGAGCCTCGAACCAAAAAAAAAAAAAAAGAACCAAGACCGAGCCCCCCTCTTCTCTGTTTCTCAGCCGAGGAGCGCGTCTGTTTTCGGGGGCAGGATGCTCGCTGTCAGAGGGGAATCCCGCGGTATCATAGCTGTGTTTGCTGTTCGTTTGTAAGGGGTTCGCTGCTGATGAAATGGCAGCAGTAGCAGCAGCATCATATAGCCTGACTCATCCCGCATCAGTACCACTACCGTAAAGGACCGTGGAGAGGCGCACACCACTGTTGTAAAGCTTAAAAACACATAGAAAAAGTAAAATAACAGACACACTTTTAGTCTAAGGGAATCATATGAATATTGTGGATGGAAGTTGTTATTATTGTTATCATAATTAGTATTAAAATGAGAAATATAAAAATCTTACAGTGTGATTTCTGGCGCATTATAACTGAAAGTGACAATGATATTCAATCATCTTTAAATAAGTAAAATCAATCAGTTGTTATAGGAGATGAAAAGGCGCCAGAAACACAGGAAAATTATATTATACTGTTTGTTTTTTATTAATAATCCTGTAGTGTTTGTTTGTGTTCAACAAGAGGGAAGCTGCACACTCACTGTGCCAGTGCGCTGTCCATGTGCGCACTCATCAGTGCGCAGGCACGGAAGTGGACGAGCTGCAAGGTGGGGAGTGTAGTTTTTACCCGCGCAGCACGGAGCCTTGTGTGTTTTTTATGTGTGTGTTGTATTTTTACACTTTTGAGGTCCAGCTGAGGTCATAAAGGTGAGGACTGTCCATTTGTTTTCATTGTTTAGGTTATAAGAGTTCATATTTAAAGATGCCCTGAGGGCTATAAATAATATAATTAATATATAATATAATATAAATTTTGTTGTTCCATCTTTTGGGTGAACACTGAGCTTCAAAATGAATTTGTGAGACTCCACAATCATGCAGCATTTCCAAGAAACTTCAGACAAGAGATAGTACTTTAAAAAGAAAGTACTTTATTTTTCTGTGTGATTTGAATAATTGTATATTTGTATATTTGTATTTGTATATGTATATATTTTTATGCACCAACTGCACCAGGTCACATTCCTTGGCAATAAACAAATTCTGATTCTGATTCTGAGAGAGTTTTTTAGTATTATAATGTTTCAACGGTAACAGTGAAGCAACAAAATAACCTCAGCTCAGTGCAAGAGAATCAACCTTCATTTATCTTATAGTGATATTGTAGAAGAAGAACGTGGACAGACGTTTCAAGTTTGTCCAAATGTCGAACTTAAATCACTTCTTGTAACCATCCTTTGGAGACAAGGCTGTTGTTTTCCAGTCTTTAGTCTTTCTTTGTCTTTCTGATTTAGATCGAGATCAAGAGAACTTAAAGTCGACTCAAAAACGTGTCTTTCTTCTTGTTCCTACAGTGTGAGGTTTGATCTTCCCTGTACAGGATGATGGTTGTGCAGAGTTTGACACTAGAAGGATGTTTTCACGTTCATCTGCTGAAAGTGGAAAGTTTCTCTGATTGTGTCCAACAGGAAAAATTAAGTTTGAGTTAAGAAATGAACGACATTTGCATATTCATATATTTAAGAATTGTTTAGGAGGTCTTCAGGTAAATCTCCATGTTGAGAAATGACCTGTTTATTGAGTCAGATGTGTCGTGTTTGCCCTCTGCTTCATCATTTCTGTAAATTATATCTTCTTATATCTAATAGGTTTTTTTTGCATGAGCTGCAAACAATGAAACAAAACAGGGAAGGACACACAAACTTCACAAAAAAAACCATCATATTATATTATTTAATGTATTCTTCTTGGTGTCCACCCACTGCACATCACAACACACACACTTGTCCTTTAAAAACAATTTAAAAAGGAACCAACACACAGTCAATACATACAAGAAAATACAACAAATGATATGTAACACGAACAAGTACGACACAAGATAAAAAAAAACACCAAAAGTTTATGTAACTTTCTCCCACACAGTGCTATTTTGAGTTTCAGCCACATGATTCACTAATGCTTTCATTAAAATGCAGGTGTATCTAATAAACTAGACACACACACACACACACACACACACACACAGTATGGGGGCGTGGTCGTTCAGACAGCTCCAGCACAAACTGCTGACAGGCTTCTCTCGCCGCAGTTTCTCCTCTGAGGACCTAGAGATGTGCACACTGACCGCAGGCTAAACAGATAACAGCACTAAAGTTGTTGTGTTTTTTTTTCTTCATCTTCTTTGGCTTGGCCACGACAGCGTTTTACATGCAGCAAGTTCTTCTTTTTTTTTCTACCGTTATAAAGTTTGAGCGCAGAGTTTCCCATGAGCACACGCTGGGACTGTAACGATGATAAAACAACACGAACTGCGTTATTATATAACAGGCTTTTACTGTGCGTGGTCGTTTTGTGTCTGCAAGGCTCAATAGTGAGTTTTTCGGCGACTTTTATTTTGAAATATTGACTTTTTATATAACATTTATTGAAATTGCCTCCTCATTGGGGTTCACAGTGCGCGTTAGCGTGCTTTAAAAGTGCATTACAGAGCTTATTCTTTAACTCAGGAGTCAAATATTTCAAGTGTCACTCGTTGTTGCAGCTGTTTGCCTCCATACATGACTTCAGACCGACTCTCGCTGTCCAAACCCTCCGCCTTTTGCAACTGTCCTCCATGCGGAACCCATAATTGGAGACCTCACTGTGCCATCCACTCAGCGCGCGCTCTCACCCGGAGCAGTAATGATGCAGCAGCACGAGCGCCTGCTCAAAGTCTTGGTCATCGGCGACCTCGGGGTCGGTAAAACGTCCGTAATAAAGCGCTACGTGCACCAGGTCTTCTCCCAGCATTACCGGGCCACCATCGGAGTGGACTTCGCCCTCAAAGTGCTCAACTGGGATCACAAGACGGTGGTGAGACTGCAGCTGTGGGACATCGCCGGTGCGTCAAGTGTGTGTGTGTGTGTGTGTGTTAGATCAAGATTGCGGTTATATAAGCCAGAAAAACCACCTGTATTTAAAGAGCTAATGTTCATACTGTATTTGCATAGTCAAATACAGTAGACAGGAGCTCACTGTCTGTTTAAGGCAATAATGTTAAAACTAGTCCACAAATATGGAGTTTCAGTTAATCATTAGATTGAGTTAGTCTGCCTAATGCAAGAGAATCAGACAGGATAGCCTTTATTTTACTATTTATAAGTTGTTTTATGGACATGCACAGTTTTTATTTTGTCCTAAATGTTCATGAACCCTGGCAGACTTCATTCTTGGCGACTAATAGTTGCAATGGTGGAAGAAGCATTCAAAACCTTTTACTTAAGCGAAAGTATTATCAGCAAAATGCACTTAAAGTACCAAAAGTTAACTTCAGTCTGGAGTAAAATGGTCCCTGTCAGTGTTACTGTTGTGTTTTTTGATTAATATTATTGCTACTTTAATGTGTATGTTAATATTTTGCTGCTGTAGGTGCCGAATGTTGAGTTAATTTTACTTTATATACCGTTGGGTAGTTTAATGTACAGCAATGCATTTTTATTCTTTAAGATCATCACAGCTTTGTTTTCAGCTTTGTGACAATGTATTTTCCACCCAATCCAACAGGGTTTAAACACAGGGTTAAATAGTTCATTTAGCTCAAGAAATATGAGAGTGTTCTCAACCCGTAAAGGAACTCTTAAAGGTCCAGTGTGGAACAATTAGGAAGATCTATTGGTAGAAATGGATGTGGAGGTTGCCATGTTCATTCGCCATGTACAGTGGGACTTTTGCCCTTTTATTTTTTTTGCACCGTAGTTTCTCCTACACGCTTGAAAGGGGTGAGTGGTATTCAGTTGGTTGCAATCTGCAGCCTCACTGCTAGATGCCACTAAATCCTACACACTGGTCCTTTAATCCTTCACTTCACTACCAAAGAAGGGTATGAAAAGATGTGTATTCTGAAAAGTAACTAAATCTGTAAAGTGTAGTGGAGTAAAAATATAAAGTATAATGAAAGAGAAATACTCAAGTAAAGTACAAGTACCTGAAATTTGTACTCAAGTATAGTACTTGAGTAAATGTACTTAGTTACATTCCACCACTGGCTAGTTGCAGATGAACATAAATTAAGTATTATTTAAGTATATTAACACATATTAAGTTACATGAAGGGATTTTTAATGAGATTATAATCATTTATGTCTACATGAGTTGAGTTTATGGCTGCAACTTAACAATTATTGACCAGTTAATCAAATCTTTAATCTGTAAAAGGTCAACAACTGAGACCAAGCCTTTCTCAAGACCTCAAGGTGTCATCTTAAAATACTTTTTTTTTGTTGTTCGACCAACCCAAATAGTTCAGTTTTTGATCATATGACAAAGGAAACCTGCAAATCTTCACATTTTAAAGGCCAGAAGTAAAAAAAAAAAAACATTGTCTTACTGTCACTATTATTGCTTGAAAAACTTTAATGAACATAAACAGTTCATGTAGTATCAATGTTCTCCTGGCAGACTCATACTTCACTCATACATAAAGCAAAACTTCTTTAATACTTAGATTCGTACAAGTCAGAACGTAATTAAATTAAAGCTTTCACCAGTCAAAAATGTTTTGCTGATATTTTTATCTTTTTAAATGTCAGATCTATTGGCACAAGTACAATATTTAGCATTTTCTTTTCTCACTTGGCTGCATTTTGCTGACGCATCCAACGATGATAATGCATGATACAAGGAGTGACCGCCTAGAAAATGTGGTAAACCTCTGTTCCTGTACATGAAATGGTGAGTTAGCCCTCCAGTACATCTCATTACCTACTATGGTAGGTATTTTATGAAGAAAAGCTTGTTGTATTTGGCTTATAAAACCCAACATACCTCCCTAATTGCATGTAATTTGATGTTCTTTTGGAAGCACTTTTTCCTCCTCGTCTCCCAGCTGTCTCACACACATCCACACACACTGTAGTGTATCTACCTCTTGCTGAGCGTGTGGGTGTTGAGCAACATGATAGCTGATAAAAGCCGTCATTTACATGGCTTTTTGGACCAGTAACCAGTGATGACTTCACACTGGAGTCACTGGAGGCTTTTAAACTGGGTCAATGGGTTTTTCTCACACACAGAGTTGTCAGATTAAGTGTGTCAAGTGATAATTGTGTCACGCTTTGGTGCGAGTGAGAGTCTTTATCTTGATAAAGTTAAGTCTAGGCTCACTTTCAGTCAATTAGCTGACTCTTTTAGTTAACACAAGGTCGCAGGAGTGTTTTCAAGTCAAGATGCGGAATGTTTTTGCATTATAATGTTTCCAATATTAGCTACAGGTGTCGATATGATCAGGGAGTCATTGCGTCTTTTTGTAGACTGACCTGGAAGTTCAGCTTCACTCAGTGCTAAATTAGCAGATTTCAAATGGAAGTTTTGCATGGGAAGACAATTACAGAATTACATACGCTTACAAGATTATCTCCAAAAAGTAACACACGTTCAACCCTTTCAACCACCACAACGTTCTTGCTAGAGTTGAACTTTGGTGCTATTTCTACTACATATAAAGCTTTTTTTTATTAAACTTTCTGTACGTTACCTGGCAAGCTATGGCACCTGGTAATGCTATGTGTGGGATTCATAATAATAAGTATCAACCTACTCATCTAACTCTTAAATAATGTTATTTCCCCAAAATGGTGAATAGATGTATCCACTCTGACTGTAATTAAATGTGAAAGTCTCTTTTAAAGGTGATTGTTGGAGATTATTTAATCGAGCTAAATGGTCATACTGGAAGTGTTTACTCACTACAAGCAGATATTTATATGAGTGTGTGTGCGTGTGTGCGTGTGTGCGTGTGCGTGTGTGTGTGTGTGACGCTAACTTCCACACTGATAACATCATGTTCATGATGCATCATTAAACAGGAAGTTAGCAAAACCTCTGACTGTAGAGACACGCTTTGTGTTGTTATAGTGTGTGAAGTTCTGTCGATTGTTTAGTTCTTGTGAAGCTTTTTACAGATATACAAATTTAAATATTTACCAGTTTTAGCTTATATAATGTAGCAAATGTTATGATTCTTAAAATACCACTGTTACCTTGCATGAACTGTTACTTCAGAGTAACTTTGTTTCTCCATAAACACCATAAACTTTGCCACTATTGGTCTTAAGCTTTGACTGTTAGCATTCATCAGATAAAGTTACGCACACACACTTCTTAAGTGAAAGACAAAGATAACATCAGCTCTTAGGAAGGTAGGTCAAGTCAGACTGCTTGTATGTGTGTGTGTTCAGTCTTTGTTTTAAGCTGTTGTCTTGCTGCATAGGTCGTGTGTGTGTGTGTGTGTGTGTGTGTGTCACTCACTGATTCACCACCGTATTAGGATCATGTGGAGGAAGTTAGCATCCAGGATAGAGACTTATTCATACACACACACGTGGTCTCACACACACACACACAAGAGAGAGAGAGACTTGCATGCGATGTCTTTCTGCTTGAGCACATACGGTTTGATAAAATTTTATTTAAACTGTGTTTGGTTGCTGGCGTCCTTGAGCAAGACACAGATATTAAAGCTGCAACGATTCATTAATGAGTCAGTTAGTTGATCGACAGAAATGTAATGGGCAACTATTTTGATAATCAGATGATCATTTCAGTGATTTTTCAAGCAAAAATGACAATCAATATGCACATTGGAGGTTCTCTAGTGTGAAGATTTGATGCTTTTTTTGGTCACATCTGAATACCTTATATCGTGGCTCAAATGAAAAGCGCTCTTTGAATACTTCACCTCGGGTTACAGGAATTTATAATAGATGTTTTTCACCATTCTCTCAAATAATCAGCATAATTAATAATAATGAATACAGATTTCTGTAGACATCCTGGAATTTAGCTCACTCAGAGCTAAATTAACTGTTAGTTGCTGCCATAAATCCTCAATTTCAAAAGCAAGTTGCTACAAGTTAGAAGAAATCTGTATTTGTCTCTATATAAGTTGGTCTGTAATCAAGATTAGCTTAGAAATAAGTACATTTTCAGGTTATGAAGTGTTGCCTGAAGCTCCTAAATGGTTAAAAAAACCCTGCACAAAAATAACATTATCTTTTCCGTTTTCTTTAAAAGGGCAGGAACGCTATGGCAACATGACCCGTGTGTATTACAGAGAGGCGGTAGGGGCCCTCGTCGTCTTCGACATGACCAGACTGTCCACGTTTCAGGCCGTCCTCAAGTGGAAGGGAGACCTGGACTCAAAGGTAAATATGATGAAGGAATGAGATTGGGAGACATGAAAGAGAGAGGGAAGGAATGAGGTAGGGAGAGAGAGTTTGAGAAGGAATCAAAAGACAAATCCTCAGTTTGTATCTATAATTAAAAGAAAACATCTACCCTGTAGCTGACGGACTGACTTCTTTAATTAATTCTTATTCTGTATCAGCATTTCCATCCACTCTTGTCGACTTCTGCTTCAGTCATGACCAGCCACATTATCTAGAATTACCTAATAACCTACACAGACTGAGCATGCAGGCCCAGCTAGACAGCAGGGGGCCCTTAACTAGATGTTCTTTAACTAAAATTTGCCTGGAGCTGAGAACTATGATGTAAAACTATACATATTAAACTATTATTTGTTTTATGAAATCGGTGAGATGAAAAATGAATCGTGGTATACCTCAGAAATAAAAAAAAAGATTCTATAAATTGATATATATATATATAGTAGATTTATATCTAATAAGGGTATTTTTTAATCTTTTAAATAATCTAATTTTGTTTAAAAAACACACTGCCAGAATAAGCAAGTAATTGATTTGACTACTTCCTGGTTCCTTTAGGTCGCCCTTAGCAACGGGAGGTCTGTTCCAGTCGTGCTATTGGCCAACAAGTGTGACCAGCGGCGTCACGGTTTGTGCCCCAAGCTGCCCAAACTGGAGAACTTCTCCAGAGAGTACGGATTCGTCGGCTGGTACGAAACCTCCGCCAAGGTAAGGCGTGCTTGTCTTCTGTTTGTGTGTCTTCTTCTTCTCCTCATGGGATGCAAGTGTTGTTTGAACCTGTGATCTGTTTCTGTCATCCGCGCTCTTGTCTTTCTTTTTCCTCTGTAAACAATTGCACAGTTTATCACGATAACACTTCTCAGCCTTTCGTCTCACACACTCTCCAATTATTTCCTCTTTTGTTTCTATCTTTACCCCAGTTTCGCTCTCTCTCTCTCTCTCTCTCTCTCTCTCTCTCTCTCTCTCTCTCTCTCTCTCTCTCTGTCAACCCTTCCTCTGTCAGTGTCTGTTTCTCGCTTTAAACCTGCACTAGTCCACAGTTTAATGAAGAAAAACTAAACAAAATAATCATTAAAAGTTCTGTTGTCTGGTATGGGCACTGGCAGCAGTGGTGGACTCACGTTGTTGAAGGGGCAGGGGCCCAGCACAGAGAAAGCTGTGATGCATTTATGGTGAAACAGCTTAGTCATGATTAGGATAAGCAACATAGAGGGCACTTTACCATGTTTTCCCTACTGGAAGGGCACACTAGAGGGCATTTCATCATGTTTTATCTGCCGTAGGGGCATCCAAGAGGGAATAAAAGCCAAAACTTCCCCTCTAACTTTAGAGAAACTTGTGCTCAGTAAAGTAGTAGGCTGTAAAGAATAATTAAATTTAGGCTAAACAAGTGTTCAAACAGCTTCTTCTTGCTGACGTTTGTAGTCGGTAGTTTTCAGTAACACATTTATCTGCATTCATTTGTAATTGAGAGCCTAAAAGAAGTTAAAAAGATTTGTGGACAAAGAACTTAGTGTGGTACATCTGTTCTATTTAGTTGAATGGATTTTATTTATCCTCTTATTCAATTTAACTGTATTAGAAGGTAAATGTTAGAAGCACAGCTTTTTATAGTGCTCCATGAAGAACCTGTACAGCTGTAATAAAACAGATGAACCTGAATAACTCTTCTAACCCTGCTAGTCAATGTCCGTCCTTATAGAATATTAACAGTAACAGGGTGGACAGTTCGTTTCAATCCACGATAAAGAAACTCATGATTGATTTAACTGAAAAGAGCAGATAAACGATGGAAAAAGTGTGTGTAACGTGAAAGTGATGATGGTTGTCAATGTAAAAGATAATTCAAGTCAAGAAAGTCGCAGTTTTTAAACCGCTCTGTGAACTACAATGCACAATACACATCACCAACATCAACATGGCCATCACCTTATCTACATTCTCTAACTTGTTCTATCCAGTGATGCCTTTTATCAGCATATGCCCGTAATCAGCTGATATTATTTTCCCTTGGTTTTTACCCTACATTCACTTAAAACTTGTATTTTCTCACCCAAAAACAGAGCTTTTCTAAAACAGGCTCCAGAGTGTATACATCTGAAAACTGGCTTTGAGTTGTAGTGAGGATGACAAAAACAGAGCTTTTGAAAATGTTGATGTTTTCTAACCCAGACATCAACATTTTCAAGCTCCTCCAGGGGAATCCCAAGGCCCCAATCTATTCTGGGTCTGTACCCCGGGCTCTCTTTCAAAGGAAAATCCAGATCAGACGCCAAACCACCTCAACTGGCTCCTTTCAACATAGCACTTCTAATCCAAGCTCCCTCGAGTTGTCTGAGCTCTTCACTCTGTCTTTAAGGCACAGTCCAGCCACCCTACGGATCGCTTGTATCCGCGACCTCGTTCCTTCAGTCGCTTACCCAAAGCTCACGGCTATGCGTGATGTTTGGAACTTGATTGACTGACTGGTAAATCAAAAGCTTTGCCTCCCAACTCAGCTCCCTCTTAACCACAGCGGCAACATAATAGCAGACACCACATCAATCCGCCTGTGGATCTCATGCTCCATTTTAACCTCACTCATGAGCAAGAACTCCTTCACTTGGGGCAGCAACTCATTCCCAACCCCTCTTGCTTCCTGGCCAATTCATACTTGACTCCAAATCACCTCATTGCCCACTGGAGGTCACGGTCTGATGAAACCAAGAGAGCCACATCATCTGCAAAGAATGGAGAAGCAATCCGGAGGTCCACATGTAAATAGCATTTTCAAAAAGTGTTGTTACAGCTGTCTCCTCCCTTGTTTCTCTCTCTCTCTACCTCTGTCATCCTTCTCTAACTCTTGACCTCTGTCCTGTCTCTCTCCAGGACAACACCAACATTGACGCCGCCATCACGTGCTTGGTAAAGAACATCATGTCCATGGAGGAGGAGAGAGCCTTGAGTGATGCAACAGCCTCCACCGCCAAAACCGAAGCGGAAGGCAGCGTTCTGGTTCTGCCTCGCTTCGACTACAACGTGAAGGAGAAGGGACTCGGCGGGTGTTCAGGGTGTTCCTCACTTAAACCCAGAGACAGAGACAACGACTGATTGATGTTTCTGAACCAAGAGACTGGAAGGAGACTGAGAGGAGGGAGGAGATTACTTTGTTGAATGATGAATATGTTCTAACTTAAAGCTGCATCCCCTTCCTCCGTCCATTTGTTCTCACAAACAAATTTCATCTGAGACGTTAGAAGAAACTGTTAAACAGTTTTTTATTTGATAAAATAATTGTTTTATTTTTGCAATCGAAATTTAGTTAAAAGTTAGTTCCATTATTATTATAAATACATTATGGCTTTGACTCATGTTTTTATGAACATTTTGAAGGATTTTGTCTACAATACGGCAACACTTTACAAGCTTGAGACACGTGAGTTTTAATATCTTCTTTTATTAAAGGATTCAATCCTTTTACTTGTGAAAGACTGAAAGTAATTATACAATTGTTTTATATTCATAAAAGTGCACTTTTAATCATATCTTCTCTATATCTTGTCCAAACAGTTCTCTTTTTTTGGCTTTTATGCTTTTGTTGTACAAAACAAACTTTGAAACTCTTTGAAAACAAGAAAAACAGGATTTAAAATTATTTGAACATATCAATTCAGATCGATTTGATTACATTTTATTTGTATAGTGCCAGTTCATAGTAAAAAGTTATCTCAGGACACTTAGGTAAGTCTAGACTGTAGTCCTTATAATCTTTTTTACAGAGACCCAACAGTTCCCACCATGAGCAAGCACTTGGTGGCGGCAGCAATGAAAAACGTCCTTTTAAGAGGCAGAAACCTCGGGCAGACCCTTTTTGTTTATTTAAATTGAAAACTGTTATATTCATATGCATGTCCAGTATTTTGTCAAACTATAAATTACATGCTGAATAAATTACTTTATGTATTTAGCAGCTGTTTTCATGGTACAGTGCTATGTAAGCAGCTACTTAAGTGAGTATAGATTTATTGATGTTTTATACAAGATAGTTGTTTGTTTTGTGTATTTAGTGTAAGTGAGCACAATTTTAGATGTCACAACATGTAACTGCAGGCCTGACAAACACTTTTTGAGCCATTGCTTAAATGTTTTTGGTTTAAAGGTGAACGTCTTGCATAGACAAACAAGAATGCAGCTTTGTATTTTTAGAATGCACGTGGTGCAAGTCAGTATTTATATCTGCTATCTTAGTGTGCTTTTGCCTGTAAATATTCTGTTGCATTAGTTATTCTACCTTTTGTTGAAAATAAAAATCTGTCTGAAGCCACAAAACATACGTCTTTGAGCCTTATAATGCTTATGTCTCACCACAGATCAAGCAGATGCATTGGTGGTGAAAGCCAGGAAATCTGTCCACACACTATAAAATCCTCTATTTTCCATCAAGACGCTTCCTTTTTTCGATTTTGAATCCATAGCTAGTGTAGCAAGGGAGACTCAAGACCAGTAGCCACCGCTATCGAGGATCTTTGAGGTTAAGGACATAACATACGAGGCACATTTTAGGTGACAAAATGTCGAAAGAAAATTTGTATCTGTGTGTAATGGCTACTCATTTGTACAGCTGGGTAATATAAGAATCACTAGGCGTACAACAATGATGTAATTTCATGGTCAAAGCCACAGGGAGCCACTGGAGAGGGGCTAAAAAACTGCGGGTTGCCTACCTCTGCTCCAGAATAAGAATGTTAATTTTCTTCCATCCTCATTTTTCACTTCTTTTATTATATTTTTCTGTTCTTTTTGTCTCTGTTCTCTGAATGTGTTTGCCAGCTCTTACAGCTATATTGTTCAGTTAAAAGCTTGTAAACTAACCCTAATTATATGGAAGACTCTCAAAGCTGTGTGTGTGTGTGTGTGTGTGTGTGTGTGTGTGTGTGTGTGTGTGTGTGTGTGTGTGTGTTTCAGCTCAGTTGTTCTCTCTACTTTTACTGTTCTGCCTGATGGGTAATGCACTATAATTTTATGCCCACCCATGTGAATATTCCCATTCACTGTGCCAGAATATGCATGTTGCTCACTTTCTTTTTTCCATCACCCAGCTTCATTCATGCAGCAGCACAGTCTTGAAAGCTTTCACTTCAAAGGCTCAGTGTGTAACATTTAGGGATCTAAATGGAATAAAATATAATAATTATGTTTCCATTAGTGTTATAATCACATGTTACCACATGTTGGAACAGTGGTTCCCAACCTTTTTCCTTAAAGGACTCCTTTTCTTTCAATTAGTAATTACTCAGTAACTGCAAGAAGTTTGTGTAAAACAAGTGATCTGGTGATTTTGAGCAGATTATTTTTTGAACACTTCTCAGTCTGTTTTGTTTGTCTTGACACTTGGCCATTGTCCTATCAGACGATTTACTTTATATTTACTTTTCTTCACAGAAGTGAATCAAATGCTGAGATGCATTTATTTTTTTTACATTTTCTAGCACACGTCGAAATCAAGAAGACCTTGCGACCCCCAGGTTGGGAACCACTGCCTTAGAATGAGCTGTTTTATCCACAGAGGGAGCAGGTCCTCTTCTACGGAGTCTGCCATGTTTCTACAGTAGCCCAGAGTGGACAGACTAAATTAATGTGTTGCCACCACTATAAACTCCCCTACTAGCTCGCTTTATATGGTAAGGTAAATGGACCTGTACTTGTATAGCGCCTTTCTAGTCTCTTCGACATGTGGCACCAGGAGCCGGGGATCGAACCCACAACCTTCTGATTAAGGAATGACCCGCTCTGCCTCTGAGCCACCTATGTTCTATACAGTTCTGGTTTACATGCACAAACACAAAGTTTCCTGTTGTCCCTTTGTCACGCTCTTTGTCACATCTCCTAAAATCATAAACACAGGGATGAGTCATCTTTTGACATCTTTTGGTACACTGCTGCGTCTGAGAGCAGTTTGAACCACTAGAGGGAGCCACAAGCTGGGATTTCCTGCTGATGTGCAATGTGTTTGTGTGCACTTTACTACAATTGTTCATGTTTTGGGTGTTTTGATGTAGTGTCTATGTTGCATTCATTTCTATATCTCTCCCTCTCTCTGCTCTGCTGATCCAATAGCTTCTATTTTTAGATGTCTACTCCTCTTCTCCCCTCTGCCGCACACTCTCACATCCCCTTCTGTGTTTTCCGGTGCTGATTTTCATTATCCAATTCTCAAAGCCACATTGACCAAAATCAGTGAGCAAGGATCAACACTGAGTGAAAGGAGGAGGAGGAGGAGGAGGAATAGGTGGAGGGTGGTGGGGGTCTTCTTAGGTTTCCTTGCAGCTCCCTGCATTAGTAATAGAGGTAGCTGCTGCTGTCGCTTGTGCAGATGCTGGCTGCAAAACGTCCCCTTTGATTTGATTTGGTTTTCTTCCGTCCTCTTGAGGAAGAAATGGATTTTTGGTGTTTTTTGTTGCTTTTTTGTTGAGAAAACCTGTTGCATCTCAAGAGGACTGACAGCAGCACAGGAAGGATCTCACATTTTGTTCTGTGAGTTTGGAAAAAAGGAGAAAATCTTTTATATTCACAAATATCTTTCTCATTTCCATTGTGTTGTTTTTGTTTTACATCTTCATGAGTTGATTTTCTTGCAGGTTTCTATTTTACTTTCCACAATTATGATCACATCTTGTTTGAAGTGATTTGTAAATGAAAAGTAAGCAGGTTGTGTGTTTTCAAGTCAGCATAATTGATGTATTGATAACTTACATTTTGTTGTTTTCTAGTGTAAAAGACTTCAGATTTCAGTCCTGTGTTTTAAATTGTAGCCATGCTTCCTTTTGATTATAGTCGGACTACGTATTCTACATCTGTTATCTAACATTCCTCAAAGAAATCCACCTTGTATGATCAATAGATTTTTCCCTTTCTTGCTCTGTTTCTGTTTGCATTTCAAAAGCTGAAGCTTTCCCTCACACCTACATATGAATTATACATTTCACCTTTCTTCTCCATATTTGCATATTACAGTTCAATTTCTTCCTTGAGTAGCAATTTTTTAATGATATCACTTATTCCCGTTTTGTGTATCTACAGGTTAGTTCAGTATACATACACAGGTTTACACTACTTAAACATACAAGACATACAAAAGACAATAAAAACATGCAGTTTGTTTATAACAGATGTTAAAGAAGGCCTAAAATATGTTAGAAATGGTTTTAAATTTACAATTCAGACCATGTCATAATTGGATTTTCACTGTCATATTATTCACGTGTTCATTTCAGTGGAAGTAGGTGGTTTTCATTCTCCTGCATTAGTAGGTAATTATTGCAAAATGTGTCATGTCTTTCCCCATTAAATCCAGAGCACGATGAAGATGGCCACAGCTGTTAAGATCCTCATCAACCTGCTGCTGATTCTACACTCTAGCAGAGGTGAGTGCCATTGAATAAGAAACAAACCAGACATCTGATCTTTTAAAAGCCTTTTTCAAGCAGTGCTCATAATCACAGAAAGGTTTTTACTTTTACTGCTGTGGTCTTCTAGTGTCAAGAGATGTCAGATATAGATAGAGATGCAGACATACTTTCCAATATCAATCATATAGTGATGTAGTTTTAAACTTTTTTTAACTTTATTAGTATCCATATAGCGCCATATATTTACTGTGCAGCATTAGAAGTTTCACATAACATGCCCGTTTTAACATAGTTCTTACATTTGCTCGCCTCTTGTTTGGATCCAAATAGTAAGTCAAGTCAGTTTTATTTATATATGATATAATACTTGTAAAGATATGACACCCTCTATGCTTAGACCCTCGATATACAAAAGAGAGAAAACCACAAGCGCTTTAACGGGAAGCATCAACACAGAGTTAACAGCACTGCTACTCAGGGAAACGCTAACATCGGTGTGCTAAATTGCACACAATGACAATGCTACCATAACAGGTATAATGTTGATTTAGTGTGTTAACATGCTAACTTTGGCTAATTAGCACTAAACACAAAGTAGGCCAACAGCTGAGGCTCATGGGAATGTCGTTCATTTTGCTGATATGTAAATGTTTTCATTTGGCTGATTTGTCCAAAAATGTGGTTTATTAAGCTTCAATTTACATTTTTTATTTAACTTATAGTATTTTAGGAATCATGCATGACTGATATATATTAAAAAAAAGAATTTTTTAAAGTCACATACCCCTTTCAGATCTCCAAAGTATCCCTAAGGGTACACAAACCTCCATTTGAGATATACTGATCTAATGGATGTCTATGACTTGCAGATCATAGTTAACAAGTGTAGATCAGCATTAGTGACTTAATGCCACATTTTGGACCATAAACCAAAATATTGGACAAACAAAATGTTAGACCTGATGATGCCACTAGATAAAAAGTCAGGGGATCCCTTCATCCTCTCAGCACAATAAATGTTCGTACCCATTTTTATACCAATCCATGCAAATAGTCAGTGAAGCGTTTCAGTGAAAAATGAAAAAAGAAAACCAGGTTTATTAGGATACATCATCTGCGAACCATGCATTTCTAACATCTGGTGCCAATTAATGTTGGAGATGCTACGATATTACATTACCTGATGTTGGCACTAAAGATAAAGTCAGGGGATCAACAAAGTTCTTCAAGGCACCATGAATGTCTGTACAAATTCTAACAGCAGTCCATCCAGTAGCAGCTGAGATATTTCATTCAGGACCACTGTGGTGGAAGAAGCGACAGACGGACGGATGCTGCCATCCATTGACCCACACTGTCAACATGTCTGAAAATATATACAGTATATTAACACTTGTACATAAAGTCTAACACAAACCCTTGTGAAATGGAAGATCAACACAAAAACACTCTTTGGAAATTAATCCCTCTGTCAATTATAGGTTGTATTCTTCTCATTCCTGCAGCTATCTGACAGTACACATGAAATGCAATTATTTTTCTATGCCTCTACAAGGGACCTTATTAGAAACATATTCAACTCGCTAAAAATCTGTGGTAAATTACAGGTTTCGTGTCAGTGCCTTAGCATGAACCATAAAGGGGCCTTTTGCGAGACATATTTTCCCCGTGTGGAGTACAAGAAATTCAGCACAGTACAAGAAATTATTCTAGAAATTATGGTTCTGTGGGATTTTCAATTTCTACTTCAATCAAACAGGAGACCCACATTTGAACATTTCTTTACTGTGCACATTTTACTGGCAAAAAATATACATTTACAGTTTGTTCTATCAAGTCTTAATGTCTGGATTTAAAGTCAACAATTTGTTTTATAGATAGATAGATAGATAGATAGATAGATAGATAGATAGATAGATA